GAATCACCTGGATTAATACTGACTGAGCCTCAGGGACTCATCAGGACTCTCCTCTTTGCCAGTCTATAATAATCACTCACTTCTCTCATTATTAAAGGGGTCAACACAGAAGACAGACTCCAGCTTTTTTCTGAACTTCTCAGCTTCTAGTCTGTATGTCTGTGCTTCACGACTGTATCTCTCAGTCTCATTCCTGCACATCTCCAGGTGCACCTCTTCCAGCCCGCAGTCCCTCTCTGTGCTCTTCCTCCACACTGTAAATTGCAAAACAGGGAGCTCAGATATAGCGCACAATTGTGGACCTACAGTATCTATACTCGTGATCACAAGGGGAGAACACAGAACACTGACAGTAATACAACCACAGGCAATATCATTCAGGTCCAGCCTCTCGTGTTCACGTGACATGAGCTTATGTCGCAAAGGAACAAATAAAGGTTGAATCCCTGCTGAAAAAGAGAAGACGAGAAAAAGCTGTGGAGCCTTCTTCGAGCTTTACTGGTTCCTTTGCTGCCTACGCATGCTGACGCTCCCTCCTTGAGCTACATGATTATATGTCTCTGCCTCACATACTGCTGTAGAAAGCACTCTGAAGAGTTATTTAGAGCTTAAATGCACTTCACTGGTAGCAGCTCATGGAAAGCTGGCCAAATTGTAAGGGATTTTGTCATTTGTACATCACCTTTTTACACAACAGATCACATAAAAATGAAATCAAGTCTATTCGGACAGTGTGGTCTTGGAAATGCAGGGATTCTCATGGCCTGACTGGACAGCAGGAGTCCAGTGTGCTCTCGGTCAGTTCAGTGTCCCCCGTTGACTGGGAGACTTGGGAATTTCAGCGAGTCTGACAGGGCAGCAGTGTCCTGGAGGTATTCTCTCTTAAGGCTCCTTATTGCTCGAGTTGTTGTTTTTTTTTTAAAAACCCATCTCTGTGTACAAAGCTTCCGGCACGCATTTCCGAAACGCAAATGTTCCAATATTCGCAACTCCACGCGGTCCGATATGGAAATGACATTGCGACACACGTCTTATCGGCACGAAACATCTCCCGCGACCTTCACTCCCCGCCTCGTGCGCCTTCTGGCGTAATGACGCGCCCCGCGCCGTCTCTTCTTGTCACTTCCTGCTCGTCGCCACGCTAGGGTGCGATCGGCAAACCACAGAGCCCCCCCCGCGGAGCGGGCGCCATGGCAACGGGGCTGCGAGCGCGGAGAGTGACCAACTGCCTCCTCCGCCCCTGAGGCCCCCCCGGAAGCGCAGCCCGGCGCGGGGCGGAAAATCGCGCAGGTGCCGCAGTGGCGCGGCGCACGTTGGCAGCTTGAGCGAACTTCAAGCAGGGAGCTGCGTCAGCATGCGCGGCCTGCAAAGGGGACAGGTCACGTCAGCGCCTGGCTGATCCGATCCGCGGACAGGCACGCCTGCGGGTACGGCACATGGCAAAGGACAGGATCGCTGCCTGACGGAGCCCAGTTCATCTGAAACGCACATCAGACGGCATATTTCCCCCTGCAGTTTCCCCTCAGGGGATTGCTAAAGTATCTATCTGTCACAGCAGGAGCACTTACACAGCACTGCCATCGCGCTGACCATGACCACCGAGATGCACACTGTGACTCCCAGAGCCAAGCAGGCACATCTCCTGCTGCTGGTCCGCCCTGCGGAGACAGAAAGACAGATTAACATGTCCATAGGGACTGATACTGCAGGACACAAACAACAGACAGAGAGAGGAGCAAGGATACACCAGCTTCAGTACACACCTGCAGACAGCATCACAGTGTCCCAGTGTAGCAGACAGGCAGTATCACAGTGTTAAGGTGCAGCAGACAGACAGTATCACAGTGTTAAGGTGCAGCAGACAGGCAGTATCACAGTGTTAAGGTGCAGCAGACAGGCAGTATCACAGTGTTAAGGTGCAGCAGACAGGCAGTATCACAGTGCTCCAGTGCAGCAGACTGGCAGTATCAGTGTTACAGTGCAGCAGACAGGCAGTATCACAGTGTTAAGGTGCAGCAGACAGGCAGTATCAGTGTTAAGGTGCAGCAGACAGGCAGTATCAGTATTACAGTGCAGCAGACAGTACCTGCAGTATTTCAGTGTAGTATGAGCATTATAACAATGTAGAGCACAGTTTCTTACAAGGTGCTACCAAAATAAATCTTATGCTTAACACATCTACAGTATATATGTCTTCTACCATTGCTAACTCAACTCAGTTAATAGAACAATGAACAGAAACCTGGATCCGGGTTCTTAAACAGCACATTGAAGTCTGTTACAGAACCCTAACGTTGCAGTACGCATCGGTTCATCAGAGTTCTGATCATTAAGAGTGAATCGGAAAGTACACATCTAAAAACTGCTCAACAAACACAGAAGTGAAGCAATGTGTGAGGAGGGAGAGAACTTAACAGCAAGTAGAATAAGAAAAGCCCACCTGGTTCACTAACTTGCACTCAACATTTCTATCTCTCAGTTTGTGCACTTTCATAAACTGGTCAGAAACTGATGAAAACATCACTCTGTTGAGACCAGTGGCCCTATGGAAGAAGAGTGGTAGGGATGGAGTGCATCTCCACATTGCAGAGATCTGGGGTTCTTTCCTGCTCGGGTTTTTTTAGGGTGTCCCCCATTACCTGTCCCCCCTTCTTAGACCTGAGAGCTCTTAATCAATTCATCTGTTCCTCCTCCTCCTCTAGTGCTGGGATTGTGTTGCACTGTTGGAAAGCAACATGGGATGCATCTGGTCCTACCTTTGCCGTGTTTTCTCTTCCTCTGCCCCCTGCAGACGGCGCCAGATTCTGAATCTGTGTAGGGAATTATGGAGAGGTGAGGACTGCACGCGGACTCACTCTCTCCTTCACCCCGTCGTGACGGGAGCACCGCGGACTCGCTCTCTCCTTCACCCCGTCGTGACGGGAGCACCGCGGACTCGCTCTCTCCTTC